TTGGGCAAAGTGGGGTTAAGTGTCTTGCCCAAGGACACAACAACAGCAGTCATCAGTGGGAGAGAGTTGAGAACTTAACAAAACCATTTAAATCACCAACACAGATCAGAGAATCAAAAGTTAAGACCCAAAAAGAATTTAGAACACATGTTGATAAATGTCCATACATGTTGTAGAATGTTAATGTGTCCCACGTAGTCAAGCCTATCTCCGCCGTTCCAACGAATGTGCCACAACTTCCGCGGTCTATGGGAAGTTTCAAAATGGCCGCGGGGGCTGGAAGATGTGAAAAAACGCATCTGTACATGCGTCAGCCGGCACAAGCCCCATTCATTTGATGAGTGTGTCCAAAATTTCACAGCAACTAAACTAGACTGGTCCAAAAAATTCACCCCCCTCAGCATTGACACACATGTAGCTTTGGGCCTTCCTGTAAAGACGTTTTCGAGAGGTCAGCTAATGCTATGTTAGCATTGAATGATTCTTGTTCCAGGTCCACCCCCATCGGCCCGGGGTGATATTGCAAGCATGTAATTTTGGGCACTTTTGAGCCGGGACCCGCCCCCACTGGTCCTGGATCATCACCACAGTCCTTTTGTGGACACTAACTGTCCAACAGACCCTCCTACATCGGCAAGGAAAAACTCATAAGAAAACCACAGTGGGAAAAAAGTGAAAAACCTCAGGGAGACCCACTTATTGAGAGAAGGATCCGCTCCACGCGGACGGACGGGCTAAAGATCCAGGGCCTCAACTACAGAACGTGGACCAGGGCCACGCAGCGGCCGCAGGACATGGACAGGTCCGATGCAGGACTCAAACACTCCCAGGTGGGTCGGGCAGGGCAGTCCACAGGTGTAGGTTCAGAAGTCCCGTCGTCGCACCATGAAACAGACAATGGGACAACGGGTGAATAGCAATGAACAGACTACAGTCAAAATCCAAATAATGCAGACAGATAAAGTAAGAAGGAGGATAGTATAGTGCTCAAGTTACCATACTTTTCCCAGCAGACTGACTCCCTATGCAGCTTGACTGACAGTCTAAGATTTTTAGCCTTCCTTGAGTCTTACCTTCCATAACCATATGCTAAATTGAAGAAGAGTGTTTTAAGCCTGGCCTTAAATGTGGAGACCGTATCTGTGGCACACCAAATTCCACTCCAGAATAAGTCAACGAGTTATGATTCACATTGACAAAGTGATACCGATCCGATAGATAGGATTTAAACCAGCCAAGGGCTGTTCCTCTGAGACCTATATCATATTCTAGCCTCCGCAGTAGAATGCTGTGGTCTATTGTGTCAAATGCAGCGCTCAGGTTCAGTAGGACCAACACTGACACTTGTCCATTATCAGCAGCTAGTAATAAGTCATTTGTGACTTTGACTAGTAGTAGTAGTAGTAGTAATCTTTATTTATATACCGCCTTTTCACTGCACATCGGAGTCTCAAAGCGGTTTACAATTGTTATTTTTGGTAGTGGGGGTGCCAGTACAGGAGGCACATGCCAGACCTATTGTACATATTTTTAGTGGTAGGGGAAACCGGAGCACCCGGAGGAAACCTACGCAGACACGGGAAGAACATGCAAACTCCACTCAGAAAGGCCCTGGTCCAACCGGGATTCGAACCCAGGACCTTCTTGCTGAGAGGCGAGAGTGCTATCCACTCAGCCACCGTGCCGGAGCCAACTAGTGCTGTTTCAGTCCTATGATGAGCTCTGAATCCTGATTGAAAGACTTCAAACAAGTCATTTTCCTTTAGGTGGCAGCAAAGCTGTTCAGCTATAAGCTTTTCCAGGATTTTAGATATGAAAGTAAGGTTCGAGATCGGTCTGTAGCTTGTAAGTAGTTCTGGGTCGAGGTTTGTTTTCTTCAGAAGACGTTTGATTACCGCGGTTTTAAAAGCTTGTGGGACATAGCCACATTGTATGGATGCGTGTCTTTCAAGAGCCAAGCCGGGATTGCATCTAAAATGCAAGTTTAGGCTTTAGAAGATGTGACCACAAAGATCACTTCCTCTTGGCTCACAGCCGAGGCACACTGAAGAATCCAGGTGGGAAATCAACTGCAACGCTTCAGCCTGTCCATCACCAACACTAGGAGTGGTTTCCTCCAGTTTGTCACGGATGGATGTAATTTTATCATTAAAGAAGTGTCAAAGAAAATCGACACTGCTCAGTGAGCTTGGTATTTTAGGCTCGATTGCGCTATGGCAGTTTGTGAGCCTAGCGACGGTGCTAAACAAGAATCTACTGTTGTTTTTATTCGCTTCTATTAAAGTTGAATAGTATTGAGTTTGAGCCCTACGAAGAGCATTCTTGTAGTTTCGGAGACCTGCTTTCCACTCCCTGAGGGCAGGCTCCGAGTGGGAGTGGCAATATAGCCTCTTCAGTTTTCTGACGTCTTGTTTTAAAGTATTCAGCTGGACACTGAACCATGGCGACGATGATCTAATAGTTTTTTGTCTGTGGACTCCATAGTGTAGTCCACAGTTCGGTCGATGACAGAAGGACTGCATTAGCTGTGAGCAGGTTCACCTGCAGCGGTATTCAACATCGGCTGTACTAGTTCTTTGAACCTTGTGATAGATATATAATTTAAGGTTCTTTTCATTATGGTTTTATCTTGCGGCGCAGGGAAGTCCTCCAAAGCGAGATTAAACGTGATCAAGAAATGATCAGACAACAACAAGCTTTGACGTTGATCGTCAATATTAGAGACATCACAACCGTAGGTCAGGATAAGGTCCAAGGTGTGGTTATGAATGTGAGTAGGTTCCTCAACATTCTGAGTAAAACCAACACTGTCTTGTATGGCGCTGAAAGCTTTGTTTAAGCTGTCGTCCACATGTATATTGAAGTAAGTAAGTAAGTAAGTAAGTTTTTATTTATATACCGCCTTTTCACTGCATTTCTGAGTCTCAAAGCGGTTTACAATTGTTAATTTTGGGCATTTGTCTCTCACTCCACACAGAGATGGGAGCGGGGTCGCCAGTACAGGAAGAACATGCCAGAACTATTGGACATATTTTTAGTGGTAGGGGAAACCGGAGTACCCGGAGGAAACCTACGCAGACACGGGGAGAACATGCAAACTCCACTCAGAAAGGCCCTGGTCCGACCGGGATTCGAACCCAGGACCTTCTTGCTGAGAGGCGAGAGTGCTATCCACTCAGCCACCGTGCCGCCCGAAGTCTCCAGTTATAACTATGTTTTCCCATTCCAAAACTAGGTTTGAAATGAAATCAGGGAATTCTGTTAGGAACTCGCTGTAAGGACCAGGAGATCGGTATAAAACTATAAATAACACCGCTTTTTGTTTTCTCCACCCAGGACAGGTGATTGAAAGTGTTAAGTTTTCAAACGAACGAAAGGCATTGTTGGTTTTGGGACTGAGAAGTAAGTTGGTGTGTGATATAATCTGACGTAGTCGTCTTGTTGGAGCAAAGTCTCAGAGAGTGCAAGTAAATCCAAGTTGTTGTCTTTAATAAGTTTGTTTATAAGAAGCGATTTAGACGTGATCTGACGTTCATTAATCCGCATTTAACAACCCTGCTTTTAGAACTATTTTTGTCTAACGGAACTTTTTGTAGGGGAGTGTGTTTGACACCCAGGTCAGATTTCCTTGCGTATAGTGCTTTAGACTTCAAGCGAGGCACACACAAAGTTTTAATTTGACTAGGTTCTGAGACAAGTGACTGAACAGATGGGAGCTCGGAGGTTGTGGCAGAGCAGCTCTGCACCCGGACCACTGTTCTGGACCCTCATTTGAGAAGGCCAGAAGAATTTAAAGCCAGGGAAAACTTCTTAGCCAAAAGGGATGTACCCGCCAACGTTGGGTGGATATCATCCGAGTGGATGAGACTGGGCTTTCCCTAAAAGGCATTCCAATTGTCAACATGAACAACACCACGTCGAGGGCACCAGTTAGACAGCCAGGGGTTGAAAGCTGCTGAATGCCTCTGCACTGCTAGTGCTAGGGAGGGGCCCAGAGAAGATGACAGTGTCGGCCATTGTGCTAGCCAGCTAGTGATACGGAAGTGTATCAAATTTATATATTGTAGTTTTAGTTCAGATGCAGCAGCTCGACCGGACAGGGTCCCGCACAATTGGACCGAGACCAGACAAACGACCGACACCCAAACCTCAGCTACAATACAGCCGTTTCAAAGTGTTTAGAAAGTGTGTTTCAAAGTGTTAGTTTGTTGTAGACTAATACGTGGATTATCAAAGGTTAATGCAAACAGAGAGCAGAGGGATAAACCGTCAAAACACACTCACCGGATACGTCTCAGTTCTGTCTCCAAGAGATCCGTTTTGACGATTTCAGCAGTTTTGTTAAGTCCTCTGAGATGACCACTGTTGTGATTTAGGGCTATACTAGAATACATTTATTGGAATTGTAATTAAATTGTGTGCGTTCATGACATGTTTGTGATGTTCGAACAAAGTTACAGAGGAGCACTATTTCACTGGGAGACTGATTACAGTTAGGCATAAGGGTAACGTATCTGATGTGTGTTACAACATACACATATTCTATGTTGTCTTTGGCCATACCTGCAGGTGAAAGCCGGATCCTGTCAGACCTCTGAAGCTAAGCAGGACAGGGCCTGGCTAGTACAGTAATGGCAGACCTTTACTGATGTGTGTGTGAATGGTTGGTGGTGGTCAGAGTGGCCAATGGCATAAACTGGTTGCTTAATTGTTTTTATCCCCACAGTCTATGGTGTGAAAGAATAATGACATGTGAAGCGTCTTTGAGCATCCAAAAAAGCACTATATAAAACTGATGCATGTCATATTACATTTTTCTTTCAGGCACGGTTGCCCCTTCCGCAGAAAGGCCGGTTCTATTCTTAGTTGAATGTTCAGGGGCCACCTGACCTCACTGAAATATGCGGAGCTGTTCCCACAATAGCCAGGCCCATGTGAACCTGCCTTATTATCCATTTGTATCCCCTTTAAAAGGTTTGATGACCCAAATATTTTCTTAGGTGGAGGAGCAGCTGCAGCGTGATGAGGAAAAAGAGCGGAAGGAGCAGGTCAGTGCACCACCTCCACGGCTGGAGAAGCAGGTGACCTTTTCCCTGGACAACAAGGAGCGCGAGGGGGTGGCCGGCAGCCCTGGGCCAGGAGTCCAGCAGTACACTGAGGTGGTGCAGAAACTAAGTGAAGCTCTGGAGTGTCTTCAGAAGGACATGCAGAAGCTCACACAACAGCAACAGCAGCTCTTAAGCGGACAGCGACACAAACTCTCCCCTAAAATCAAACCGATGCCCGTCACCCCCGTCACCCCTCCTCAAACCCCTTCCAAGACGCCTGCGCGCAGCAGGGCCTTGCTCATCCCTGTGTCTGGCCAATACGCTTCCACCAAAATTACTCTTCTGTCGTCTTCCTGCCCAACCCCACGCACCAGGGCGGTCCCGCGCAGCCCCAAGACGACCTCCCGAACGCCAACCCGCAAGCGTCCCTCTGATCTGGCCTTTCCCCCCCTCTCCCGAGTCCTCACCCCGCCCCAGAGCGTGGATTCGCTGCCACACCTGAGGAGAGTGTCCCCCAGCAAGTGCCAAGTCCAGACCTCGTCCTCCTTCCGCATTGGGGGTCCGCGGACGCTCACTCAGGTACTGTGTGCATCAGACTGATATTTTGAAACCTGAGTCAATCCAAAGAAATGAAATTGATTTGGTCCAATTCCAATGTTGATACTTCATCAATGTTGAGACTAAATTTTTCCAGCAATCAAAGTCCAGTCCAGTCCAGTTTTTTATAAAGCACTAATAAAAACAACAAGGTTGACCAAAGTGCTGTACATAAAAAGACATACACAAATATACAATTGCAAAATACAAAACAGTGGTAAAAAACACACTATTTAAAGCAAAAAATCTATTCAAAATCAATGAAAAGCCAATGTGAACGAGACACAAAGACATATAGTACACAGACATATATACATACATATATAGTACATGCATACAGTACATACATACATACACATACAGTCTGTGTACTGTATGTATTTCACATATTTACTGCATATACTCTTTGCAATTTCACATCATTGTGCAACAAAAACACAGTCAATTACGTGTCTTTACGTAGAACAAACATGCAGAATAGCATTATGGTAGAACTGTGACAAGTATACACAATAAAACACACACCTCGTCATGAGTGAAGCTGAAATTCACCTGAGAGCAATTGTTCAATTTAGGAAAGATTTTCAGGAAAAAAAGATGAATGAATGTATGAAATGAGGTTGACAGATTTTGGTTTTGAATTAGTTCAACTGTTTTGTATGTGATGACTCAAGCGATGAAATTAGGACTATTAGTTTTATAAGGAAAGTCATAAGAATGTTTCATTCTAACTGACAGGACAGAAGCAAATGATAATGTTATAAAACAGCAGAGAATTGTATGAAAGTAACTGATACATGTCCAAAACAAATAGCTATTTGAGAACTTTAAGTCTGAGAAATGTACCAACTGAGAAAAACTGAATACGCTTTTTTCTTATTTTGTGGTATTTAAAATCAATTTAATCTCACGAACAATTGATCTTTCCCCAAGATAGTAGTGGTGATAAAGTGGTTTAAGCGACTTTACTGGTGGGACAGTTGCTAGTAATATTTACATGCTGTAGAAAATGTAAAGATTAAATAAAATAGCATATTTTTTTTATTTTAATTCAATGTAAATTTAAACATTAAATTACGTTGCACGTGTGTTTTCTTTTAATTAACTTTATTATTATCATTATTATTTTTTAATTACAGTCAACATGACATTATGCTGCTTTCAGACCACCGACGCTGGAACGCTGAAGCCTCGCTCACCAGACGCACATTCTCTAGTTTTCAGACCAGAAGTCCTGGCACGCGCCGGAACTGGCGGAAGTAGCCGGCGGGCTTTGATGCTAGCAGAGTTTAGCTAGCAGCTTCTTGTGTAAAGATCTTCTCCAATAATGCAGCTTTGCAGCGTGTCTGTGTTCAGAGACCTTCCGGAGACTTTATATAACAGTAGTATGTGTTCACGGAGGTGCGCAATAAGTTTATTTTATTATCAAACGTTACTTCTGCATCGGCGAACACGCTCGAAGCAGTTGCATAAAGTCACGGGAGCATGAAAACTTGCATGTTAACAAGCACTATGTCCCCCATTGTCAACCCTGGTTTAGTCCTGATGTAGCTCCTGTTTTGGCTGTTTACGAGTATTTTCAGTGTGCTCGCTCAGACCGCTAATATCCCCGTGACCACTTTGCTGCTCTCTGATTGGTTGCTGCACGAGCGTGCTGAGGAAAGGTTCAGCAAAATTCATCTCCTGCGTGTGTCGATTTTCCGCTCCTGCTCCTCCCCTTCGACATTCCCGCGCATCTCTACTGAGCAGTCTGCGTGCATTCCGAGACGGACGCGAGTCACCATTGACTTTGCATTGAAAGCCGACGCAACGCATGACCCGGTCTGAACGCGGCATTAGTCTTAACTCATTTTAACTAATCAGATCCTCCCCCTCTCCCAAAGAAGGCAAAGTAAAGTGTTTTAGCAACTTCAGCGCAGCCAGATAATTGCCTTATTTACATAACAAAGTTAGCCGTTCAAGTGTGCTCGATTGAAGAGGTGGGCCTGAGCACGCTTTAAAGCCCAGATGAGGGGGGTCAGTGTGGCGGGTGGTGGGGAGTGGGGGATGAGGTGTGGTGGGGACTTGATATTGTGCGTCATATTACGTCTTCCTGCATTTCCACCATAGACTGTAAAAAATTATGATCATAGTCACGCCTATCACTGCCGTTCTAACTAATGGGCCAAAAATAGTGCTCTACTGGAGCAATCCAAAATGGCAGCGAGTGGTCCCGCCCACAAGAAAATTCTGAATAAACGCATCTGCACATGCGTCAGCCGGCGCAAGCTCCATTCATTTGAACGAGAGACTTAAAAAATTCACAGCAAGTAAACTAGAGTGGTCCAAAAAAATTCACTCCCCTCAGCATTGACACACATGTGGAACGGAGGTTTGGGCCAAGAGCCAGATTTTGGACCATCCTGTAAAGATGTTTTTGAGAGGTCTGCTAACGCTATATGTTAGCATTGACTAATTCTTCTTCTGGGTCCACCCCCATCGGCCCGGGGTGGTATTGTAAGCATGTCAGCGCACGTCATTTTGGCCACTTTTGAGCCGGGACCCGCGACAACTGATTTCCACTCACGTCTCTCCTGCACTTACGTATTCTCCGCTTATGTTAAACCTTTCATATAAGCGTCCCCGTGGTCGAGGGGCGCTGGGGAGTTCCTCGACGCATTTCTTTGGCTGCAGGGCCAAAGAAAAGCGTTTCCTACGGGAATAACTCCCTGACCCTCGCTCCCAGTGTGGTGCTATTACAATAACACTTCAGAAATTCAAGAATCAGTCTTTATATAACACCAGAACACACCAACACACACGCGCGCACACACACACTTATATCCTCCTGCTCCGGTCGGTCGCTCTGATCGTACGCCAAACGTTTCATTCTTTCAATCTCATTCATTCATTTCTCAGTGCTCTTACGCTCGTTACTAAAGAGTGTGTGTGTGCACTCGTGTCCGTGGCGTGCGCACACCAAGCCCCGGTGATCCAAGATGGCACCCTATTCAAATGAATGGCTTGTGCTCAGTAGCGCATGGGACTTCATGGAGACCGGGAGATTAGCTGAACTTGCCTATATTTGGGCATCGTCTGGTCCTCCCGGTTCTGCGCAGTGGATTAGCGCACGTTTGGCGTGACGCATGATGCGCCAAACGTGCGTGTGTGGCTTTCATGCACGCGCACAGAGGGGCTCGGCCGCGCTCTGACCAATCAGAGCTGCTCATCAGAATTTCAGGATGAACACTAAAATCCCCACAAAATCCGATTTTTATGAAAGCTGTAGGTTCTCGTTCAGCTGAGGTCGTGCTGTTTTAATATACATTGAGTTCTATGGGACTTTTTTCTGGGTAGGTTTCTGGCGCCCCCTGTGCCCATAGGTGGGACAGCTATAAGCTAGTTATACCCTATCCAGTCATTATAGATCCATGGCGCACACACACAAACACATGTGCACACACATGTTACCCACTTTCCTATTATGCTATGTATTTTAAATATTAGATTATATGTGTTTTTTTGTTGTCTTTTTTCCTTTTGGATATTACCTTAGACACCCCCCCCAGTAGCCGCACAGAGTGAAGAGAGCACCTCAGACACGGGCTCCAGCGAGACACCCACCCAGTTCAGTTTGGAGCTGGAGGACAGGGACTCCGGCCTAGTGCAAGACAGCCCAGCGCAGGACCTCCCGAGGCCAGTGGAGAGCAGTCCCTCGGAGTGTTCCCTGCAGAGTGACACACTGTCCCTGTCAGCCTTCAGCACAGGAGGCGACGGGCGCCCGGTAGGGGACACGTGCAGCCTCATGGCCTCGCTGTCGTCCCTAGGGCCTGCTGAGTTGGAGGGGGGTAAGCCTCGACACAATCAAAATCCCATGTATTCTAGATTTTCTCAAGTTACAAACAGTTTATAAACCTAAGCAGAGTTTGCGTTCATTTGCTCATGTTTTGGAGATTATGCATGATAACAGACACTTTTTCCCCACTTATGGGCTATATGCACGGGGAGGCGTGATGTCATTTCCTGTTAACAAAGCACAGCCCTTTCACTTCCTGCCTATGCTATTGGCTTTTAGGTGGGTTTTAGTGACGTTTTTTAGTAATTAGATCGATACATTCAGCTGTGAGACTGACCCAAAAGTGTCGCTGTGCTTTTTCTCTGAGGTAGAGCTTTGACTGTGGCCACTCAGAGCGATTTGTAAACTTAATAAAAACACAATGACAGCACAATCAAAGAGCACTCCTGTGTCCCAAAAATGCCCAGTAACCTCACAGTTTAATTCCCGTTTGAGCATTATTTGGGAAACTTTGGGAAACAACTGCTGAACTCCAGTGAAACTCCAGCCTTTTCCCGCGAACAGGAAGTGAAGTGGGGTAGTAGCTAAAACGCGGAAGTGGTGCGTGCATAAAGCCCATTGTCAGTGGTTGTGTGAGGCCATACATTGTCAAGTAAACATATTTTCTATTTTCAAATGATTGAATTTTAATATCTGGGTCTTAAAATTTGTGAAGTACGTAATGCATTTTCCTCAAAAGTGTTGCTCATTGAACACTAATACTTTTGATTAGATTAAAAAGGGGCACAGCACTACCCTGGGTCTGAACATATCACTAGCAATTTCCTAGTCTGTGACCTCCTGTTACTTACGTGGCAATAAAAATGATTCTGATTCTGATTTGTGACAGCACTGCAACACAAACACAGACCATAAGTGAAAAATAATTTTCACATTTGTTAATGAAGTGAATGAACATGACTAAAATTAAATGGGTCTGTGAAATTGTTTTCTTAATGGTCTTAAAAGACCAAATGTGTTTTTCTCTTTGTTAATGGTTGTGTGAAACCATTTATTGTCAAATAAAGGTGTTTTCCATGTTCAAATGAAGATGTTTGAAACATCAAAACATCTCATCAAAGACTATTATCAAAGACCCTTATCAGACTTTTGATATCAGACTTCTGAACCAAGAGCCCCCCACTGTGCTAAACCAGTTCTTCAGCCGCTTTGATGTTGTTCCTGACACCTCCCCCCACTGCTCATTCGACACCTCTCCCCTCAGCCCCTCTGTCAATAGCTCCAGACGAGACTAGACGGCAGTTCTCTAGGCTGCATGTCCGAAGTGCTGCCGGCCCGGACGGAATCTCACCCGCCACCCTGAGGCAATGTGCGAACAAGCTGTCCCCAGTCTTCACCGACATCTTCATCACGTCGCTGGAGTCTTGCCACATCCCCACCTGCTTCAAATCCTCCATTGTTGTCCCTATCCCTAAGAAGCCCAGGATCACTGGACTTAATGACTACAGACCCTACACAGCTAACAGATCTGTAGACGACGCCTTTAACCTGGCCCTCCAGGACTTACACCAGGGTCCTGTTCGTGGACTTCAGCTCTGCTTTCAACACCATCCTGCCATCCCTGCTCCAGCACAAGCTCTCCCAGCTCAACGTGCCTTTTTCTACCTGCAGGTGGATCACTGACTTCCTGACGGACAGGAAGCAGCGAGTGCGTCTGAGGAAGAATATCTCGGACTCTAGGATTATAAATACAGGAGTCCCACAGGGCTGTGTTCTTTCTCCCCTGCTCTTCTCCCTGTACAGCAACCACTGCACCTGCAGCCACGACTCCGTGAAGCTGATCAAGTTCGCGTATGACACCACCCTCATTGGACTTATATCCAACAACGATGAGTCCGCCTACAGGAGGGAGGTGGACCGGCTAGTGTCCTGGTGCAGTGGTAACAACCTGGAGCTGAACGCCCAGAAGACAGTGGAGATGATTGTGGACTTCAGGAAGAGCACAGTCCCCCCCGCCTCCACCCTCCATGATGGACTCCCTCATCACCTCGGTGGAGTCATTTCGTTTCCTGGGTACCACCATCACCCAGGACCTCAAGTGGGAGCTGACCATCAGCTCCCGCATCAAAAAAGACCAAAAGAGGATGTCCTTCCTGCGGCAGCTCAGGAAAGCCAAGCTGCCTGCACAAATGTTGGTGCAGTTCTACACAGCCATCATCGAGTCCATCCTCACCTCCTCCATCACCGTGTGGTTCGCTGGAGCCACTGTCAGGGACAAGCAGAGAATACAGCGCATTGTGCACTGATCGGCCGCAGCCACCCATCGCTGCAGGACCTGTACGTCGCCCGAGCTCGAGGCCGGGCTGGTTGTAATCACAGCCGACCCTGCACATGGTCTGTTCCAAACTCTCGAGAAAGTGGGGTTGACGCGCACATCCAATACTGAGTAGCGTGCAAAAAAAGTCGATAATAGGAAACATGAAAAGAAAAGGAGATGACTCTGCACAGCTTTTAGCTCCCAAGAGTTTTTAATGTTATCACCACAAGATGTGACGTTTCGGGTCACTACCCTTCATCAGACATAAAAGAAACCACAGGCTACACACCTGTATATATACACACAGTAATGACAGGTCACATGACTCATTCGATAGTCAAAAAAAATAAAAATAAACAAACAATGAGATTATCATTAAAGTGTAGCCCCCCTGAAGTGTGATGACAAAAATACTATAGCATAGAGATGGGACGGTACCACAGCATATATGTATATACACACAATAATATACACATTACCAAAAAAAATGTGAAATATTCACACCATCACATATTTACATTATAATTTACAATATTTACACTAGTAAAAGATACCTTTACTCACAGGAAGGTCTAAAGACACACAAAAGAATGAATCATAGAAAAGGTCTCAGATCAAAGTCTTCGTTTAGACCCTTTGGACTTAGTGTGTCTAGTGTATAAATCCAGTAGGCTTCACGTTTGAGTAATTGGGAGTTGATGTCTCCTCCTCGGTTTGGAAGTTTGACGTGTTCAATACCTGTGTACCTTAATGTACTCACATTGTGTTTTTCTTTTGTGAAGTGGACAGCCACTGGGCTTTTTGTGTCATGATTGCGGATGTTGCTCCGATGTTCTGAAATTCTGGTCTTTAGAGGTCTAGTCGTTTTAGTCGTTCTAGTCGGTTTCTTTTATGTCTGATGAAGGGTAGTGACCCGAAACGTCACATCTTGTGGTGATAACATTAAAAACTCTTGGGAGCTAAAAGCTGTTCCAAACTCTCCCCTTGGGCAGGAGACTACGGTCTATCAGGACCAAAACCTCCCGCCAAAATAACAGTTTCTTCCCCTCTGCTGTTGGACTCTTGAACACTCACAAACTGTCCCCCCGCCCTTTTTAAGTCACCTTACGGCCCCTTATAAAGTCACCTTACTGTCCCTTATTAAGACACTTTATGGCCCATCATAACGTCACTTAACTGCTGTCAAACTGCTGGAAAAAGAAGTTTGCCAAGAAGTTGGAAAAAGTTGCTGTGTTATAATTCAAAATCTCCAATATGTGACCAAAACAATGACATCTGTAAGTGTGTAAATTTAAAGATAATTGTGTGTAATTGGAGCTGAAACAGTGTTGTGATGACAGGAGTGGAGGAGGGGGCCAGTGATGAGCAAACAGAGTTCTCCTCAGACTCCATGAGCGACCTCACAGATGTAACCAGAACCCGAGAAAGCAGCGTCTCAGCCAGCGAAGTGACTGTGCAGGAGCCCACCCCCATGCTGCCCAGTGACCCAAGACCCCGACCCACCGAGGACAGCCAGCAGGTCACTTTCTGTTTAGACTCTTTTTGATAAGATAGATAGGATAAGATAAACTATGGATCTCACATTGGAGATATGTACCTTGCGAAAGTATTCGCCCCCCTTGAACCTTTCAACATTTCGCCACATTTCAGGCTTCAAACATAAAGATATAAAACTTAAATTTTTTGTCATGAATCAACAACAAGTGGGGCACAATCGTGAAGTGGAACAAAATGTATTGGATAATTTAAATTTTTTTAACAAATAAAAAACTGAAAAGTGGGGCGTGCAATATTATTCGGCCCCTTTACTTTCAGTGCAGCAAACTCACTCCAGAAGTTCAGTGAGGATCTTTGAATGATCCAATGTCCTAAATGACTGATGATGATAAATAGAATGCACCTGTGTGTAATCAAGTCTCCGTATAAATGCACCTGCTCTTTGATAGTCTCAAGGTTCTGTTTAAAGCGCAGAGAGAACCATGAAGACAAAGGAACACACCGGGCCGGTCCGAGATACTGTTGTGGAGAAGTTTAAAGCCGGATTTGGACACAAAAAGATTTCCCAAGCTTTAAACATCTCAAGGAGCACTGTGCAAGCAATTGTATTGAAATGGAAGGAGTATCAGACCACTGCAAATCTACCAAGACCCGGCCGTCCCTCCAAACTTTCATCTCAAACAAGGAGAAGACTGATCAGAGATTCAGTCAAGAGGCCCATGATCACTCTGGATGAACTGCAGATAACTACAGCTGAGGTGGGAGAGTCTGTCCATAGGACAACAATCAGTCGTGCACTGCACAAATCTGGCCTTTATGGAAGAGTGGCAAGAAGAAAGCCATTTCTCAAAGATATCCATAAAAAGTCTTGTTTAAAGTTTGCCACAAGCCACCTGGGAGACACACCAACCATGTGGAAGAAGGTGCTCTGGTCAGATGAAACCAAAATCGAACTTTTTGGCCACAATGCAAAACGATATGTTTGGCGTAAAAGCAACACAGCTCATCACCCTGAACCCACCATCCCCACTGTCAAACATGGTGGTGGCAGCATCATGGTTTGGGCCTGCTTTTCTTCAGCAGGGACAGGGAAGATGGCTAAAATTGATGGGAAGATGGATGGAGCCAAATACAGGACCATTCTGGAAGAAAACCTGTTGGAGTCTGCAAAAGACCTGAGACTGGGACGGAGATTTATCTTCCAACAGGACAATGATCCAAAACATAAAACCAAATCTAAAATGGAATGGTTCACAAATAGACGTATCCAGGTGTTAGAATGGCCAAGTCAAAGTCCAGACCTGAATCCAATCGAGAATCTGTGGAAAGAGCTGAAGACTGCTGTTCACAAACGCTCTCCATGCAACCTCACTGAGCTCGAGCTGTGTTGCAAGGAAGAATGGACAAGAACTCCAGTCTCTCGATGTGCAAAACTGATAGAGACATACCTCAAGCGACTTGCAGCTGTAATTGCAGCAAAAGGTGGCGCTACAAAGTAAAAGCGCAAGGGGGCCGAATAATATTGCACGCCCCACTTTTCAGTTTTTTATTTGTTACAAAATGTAAATTATACAATACATTTTGTTCCACTTCACAATTGTGTCCCACTTGTTGTTGATTCTTGACAAAAAATTTTATTTTTATATCTTTATGTTTGAAGCCTGAAATGTGGCGAAATGTTGAAAGGTTCAAGGGGGCCGAATACTTTCGCAAGGCACTGTATATGCTGTTTACATGGAGACCCTGTGACAGTAATACGATAGAGGTGTGTATCGGATTGGCCTTTTGTTTACATAAGACAGTGTTTCAGGAGGGTGAAAACAATAGTGTCTACTCTAGAAACTACCAGAGTGGAACAGAACAAATACGCTGCTGTTAAAATGTTAAAATATAGTATAGTTAAAATAAGTATAGTTTCTTTTATGCAAAATATTTATGTACAATAAAATTAATCAAGGCCTGTTGCTAGAAGCCAGTTTGAGTTTGGTGTAACTCCAAACCCTTCCATCCATGCATTTTCTTCCGCTTCATCCGTTTCCGGGTCGCGGCGTCAGCAGTCTAGGCGGAGACAGACAGCACAGACTTTCCTATCCACACACACTTCCTCCACCTCCCCAGGGAGGTGTCCAGGAGGCATCTGGAACGTACTGTATGCCTGAGCCACCTCAACAGGTTCCTCTTGATGTGGAGAAGCAGTGGCTCTACTCCAAGCTCCTCCCGTGTGACTGTACTCCTCACCCTATCTCTAAGGGAGCGCCCAGCCACTCTGCAGAGAAAGCTCATTCTGACTGCTTGTATCCGCGATCTTGTTCTTTCGGCTTTGGGTAAGGACCCAAAGCTCATAACCATAGTTGAGGGAGGGAACGAAGATTTACCGGTTAATTGAGAGCTTTGCCTTTCGGCTTAGCTCCCTTTTTACCACAACGGTCCGGTACAGCGACCGCATCACTGCGCACGCTGCACCGATCTGCCTATCAATCTCACGCTCCATCCTTCCCTCACTCATGAACATGACCCAGAGATACTTGAACTCCTCCACTTGGGGAAAGACCACTCCACTCACCTGGAGAGGGCTAGGCACCATTTTTCCGGTCAAGCAGCACATCATGATTAGTGCACGGGTGTGCCTTTGACTGTCCACAATTAAATGGCCACTCTGAGATGTGCAGTCTGTCTCACAGCAAAATGCCTCAAGAATTGAGGGAGCGTGCAATTGGCATGCTGACAGCAGGAATGTCAAAAAGATTTGTTGCTCGTGCATTGAATGTTAATTTCGCCATCATAAGCCATCTCCAAAGGCGTTTCAGAGAGTATGGCAGTACATCCAACCAGTCTCACAACCGCAGACCACGTGTAACCACACCAGCCCAGGACCTGAAATGGTCTGAATTTGCCTTCACTCTGTGGTCCAGCTCACCTCAAAACCATCTCAATTGGGTTCAGGTCCGGTGACTGTGGAGGCCAGGTCGTCTGGCCCAGCACCCATCACTCTTCTTATTGGTAAAATAGCCCTTACTCAGCCTGGGTGTGAATCTACACTCAATACTCATGAAAAGAAAGGACACTCATTGAATGAGAAAATGTGTCCAAACTTTTGGTCTGTACTGTAATCAAAGTAAACCAGACCGTATAAACAAAGATGAAAAAAACAAAAAAACAATTGTAAACCGCTTTGTGACTCTGGTCTGTGAAAGGTGGTATATAAATAAAGCTTACTTACCTACTTAAATTGCAAATAGTAATTTAAAAAAAGAAAACCAACAACAATAAAAGAAGAATAAACAAATTAAAACCTGTAAATGTGGTTGACATGGCTCTGTCAGATCACTTCTGTGTATTTTTTTTACATATGTTTTGATTGTAAACCCACATAAATCTGAATGGTTACAAATAAGCCAAAGGCCCCTGGATTAAAGTGGACTCAGTCATGGCACAGAAGAGAGAGTGCCGGAGGGCCGAGCGGAAGTGGCAAAAATCCAATCTCCAGGTGGATCATGAGATCTTCAAAAATGAGCTGAGAAATGTATTTTTCTAAAACCATTGATGGCTGCAATAATAATCTACGACTTCTGTTTTCAACAGTTAACAAATTAACAAACCCCCCTGTTCAGCTGCCATTAGAATTTACCTCAGAATCTAAATGTAATGAGTTTGCACAGTTTTTCAATGACAAGGTTCAGAGCATCAAAAACGCCATCACCTCCACAGCAGAAATAACATTAAACAGCCAGTGAGGCTTTTTGAGCAATCACACTTTGCACCAACAGATAACCCACTAAATTTCTTAAGTCTGTTCTGAGCAGTCTTTTACCTTCGCTCACACAATTAGCAAACATGTCTATTTCATCAGACCCCTCCTAAAAAAGAGGATTCTAGATGCCACGGTTCTTAAGAAATAACCGGCCCATTTCAAATCTGCCGTTCATGGGAAAAATTCTTGAAAAAGTTGCCTACCAACAACTTACAGAATTATTGGTAACTAATAGCTCTTTTGATGCGCTCCAGTCCGGCTTTAGAGCCCATCACAGCACTGAGACTGCTCTAGTGAAGGTTACAAACAACATCTGACTTAACACTGACACAGGAAAAGTCACAGTTTTAGTCATGCTGGATCTGAGTGCCGCGTTCGACACAGTCGACCATGAGATCCTCATGCAGAGGCTAGAGCACTGGGTGTGTGTGACTGCCCTAAGTTGGTTTAGGTCTTACCTAGAAGACAGGAAATACTTGGTTGAGATAGGAAACTGTGTCTCAAATCATATGGGCCTGACCTGCGGAGTGCCACAGGGGTCAATCCTGACAGTTCAATCCTCTTCTGTTCAATATTTACATGCTGCCATGAGGTCAATTAATACGCACTAACAATGTATCCTACCGCAATTACGCTGATGACACTCAAATCTATGTCTCACTTACTGCAGGAGAACATGGACCAGTGGACTCTCTCCTTCACTGTATCCAACAGATCAGTGAGTGGATGCAAAATAACTTCCTCCAGCTGAACGCAGAGAAAACTGAAATGATTGTCTTTGGTCCCCAGAAACAAAGAGAGAGCTTTATTTGTCACCTCCAGTCTCTTTCCCTGGAACCTTTAGGTAAGGTCAGAAACCTAAGAGTAATAATGGACTCAGACCTAAATTTTAACAGCCACATCAAATCAGTAACATCAGCAGCTTTTTACCATCTGAAAAACATTGCCAAAATTAGAAACATAGTGTCTAAATCAGATCTGGAGATTCTTATCCATGCATTTGTCTCCAGTAGGTTAGACTACTGCAATGGCCTGCTCACTGGGCTTACCAAACAGGCTGGGCTGTAAAACAGCTGCAGTATGTCCAAAATGCAGCAGCTCGAGTCCTGACCAGGACCAGGAAGTACGACCACATTAGTCCAGTCCTCAGGTCTCTGCACTGGCTTCCTGTGGCTCAGAGAATAGATTTCAAGGCAGCACTGCTTGTATACAAGTCTCTCCATGGCCTTGCACCAAAATACTTAAGCGACATGTTAGTACCATATGAACCG